CTACGCCACGAACCTACCGCAAGCCCTGCATGGCCTGGCCAGCAAGGCACACGGGCACCGACCCCGGGCACCGAGGCGGCCCGGGCAGGGCCTGGCGCGTCCAGGGTCGGCCGAGTCGCTGCCGCATGCGTCTGCCTCGCCGAGGCGCAGGAGGTCGCACGCGGCCACCGCGTGAACGTCGTGGAGCCCAGCATCGGAGCTGCGTGACACATCCTCGCCCTTCACTCGGCGGCGCGCCCAGGGGGAAAGGCGGCGGAGGGGGGGCGGGCCTCTCACGAAAGACGTCCGGCCTTCTGAAAAAGTTGTCCGAGCCTTCTCCGAAGACGCAAACGGCCTATTAGAAGGCCAGAGGGCTTCTGAGAGGCATCGCCTCCTTCTGAGAAGGCCCGCCCCTCTCACTTCCCCACTGGCGCGCCGCCGAGTCACCTCCCTCGCTCGCTCCGCCCGCGACCGAGGCGGTCTTGTGAGCAGTGCTGTGGCCCATCTCTGGGCAAGACGACATGCATCTCGGCAAGACGCTGCTTTTCAACTTCTGGTCGCTATCTACCTGGAGGTACGGCAACACCAAACTCCGACGTTGTTGGAGTTCCGACAGGCTCAAGCGTTCGGGGCCACTCGCCATTTCACCTCGCTGCGCTACCGTGCTAACTCTAGAAAGGAAGCGCGATGGGACGATCTGCAAGAACCTGGAACCTGCGAGTGAATCGGCGACCACAAGCATATACACTGAAGCCAAAAGGCGCTCAAACGATGGTCCAACCACGACGTGACCAGCGCTCCGTCCGGTGCCTGCACTATCTTCCAGCTGTACTATACACTCACTCCCTAAGATCTGAGGCCACCTCCCCCTCCCCCTCTCCCTCCCCCACCTCCTTCTTTTCCTCCTTCTCCTCCTTCTCCTTTTCCTCCTCCTCCTCCTTTTCCTCCTCCTCCTCCTCCTCCTCCGCCCTACCCCATGGGATGTAGAACGCATCTCTGTGTGTCATGGCGCCAACGGCCGCACCGGCGCGATGGGGCCGAGGTGGGGGAGAGGACGAGGGCTGCCGCGGAGGCGCCGTGCAGTGGCGGCCCACGGGGGTGCGCAGAGCGCTCCTGCCAGGGCGCAGGACGTTGCAGGACACACGGACACACACACACACACACACACACACACACACGCACACACACGCACACACATTGCAGGACACACGCACACACATTGCAGGACACACGCACACACACACAAACGCACACACGCACACACGCACACACACACGCACACACACACACACACACACACATTGCAGGACACACGCACACACACATTGCAGGACACACACACACACACGCACACACACACACACACACACACACGCACACACACACACACACAACACGCACATGTTTTGCGCCGGCGGCTGGGCAGAGGGCGACTGCTCCGGCGGATAGGCAACAGGGGACACGCAGTATGCAAATTAGGGCCGCAGTGCACGGGAGGAGAAAGAGACACACACACACACACACTCGCACACATACACTCGCACACACACAATTGCACACTTATTGGCGTCTCGGCCACGCGCACGGCGACCCCACGTGGGTCAGGGCAGGCGAGCGCGCGGTCCAGCCCAGCTCAAGCGGCAGACGCACGCACGCTCACGCACACGCTCACGCACACGCACATGCACATGCACACGCACACACAAACACACACACACACAAACTAACACACACACACACACACCACACACACACGCACGCACGCACGCACCACATCGAGAACACACACACACACACACAAAACACAACCACACGCACACGCACCACACGCACGACACGCACACACGCACACACACCACCCTCACACGCCAAAACACAAGCCACGCACACGCACACTCACCGCAACGCCACGAGACCGCACACGCACACTGCACACGCACCGCAACACGCCCACGCCACCTCACGAGCCACACGCACACGCACCGCGCACACCATACACACACCAAACACACACACCCCACGCACACACCAGGAGATAATAAACGTGTAAAACCTTCGGACGTCCATGGGCGGCTGATTCCTTTCGGGGGCTGACCCACCCCTGGGATCCGACGCCGCAAGCGACATGTGCAGCGCCGTCGGAAAGTCACGAATGGAACCCCGAGCTCCTTCTTCCTGCGACACCTCCCTCGCCAGATGCGGTCTGCGAAGGCCCCCGGGGTCTACAACCCAGGTGAGAACGCACGGTGTGAATAGACAGTGCGGCGCCGTGATCTCTTGGCGGCGCGAACGAGGGGGCACGGGGAGGGGGGGGGGGGCTTCCCAGAAAGAGACCGCTTCGTGATCTCTTGACGGCGCGCACAAGGGGTGCAGCGGGAGGGGGGAAGTCTGCGGGGCCCCAGAGCCCCCGAACACACAGCAAACAAACACACTACTTCTTGTTTTTTTTGTCTGGGGTACCCCCCCCTGGAAAATCCTGGAAATAACCGAATTGGGGGCCCCAAGAATATACACCACCACCACGTCGATTCCTCCTCCCTTTATCGACCCTCCTCTTCCTCTACTCTTTCCTGGGAGAGGGAGGGGGTGAGGGAGGTGGTGGTGGTGGTGTATATTTTTAGGCCCCACACGAATCCCCTCCCCCGAGTCGGGTTCTTTTGGAGGGCTTTCACCCCGGAAGGGCACCGGCAAAACACTTCGTAGGAAGAGCCTGGAAGAGCAGAGGAAACGCACACAGAAAAGCCTCCCAATGGGGGGGGGTCCCCGGGAGCTATCGGCGAACTGCCACGTCCTGCACTGGCGACCGAATTCCGCCCCCCATCTCGCCCCTGTGCGCCTGCTCTCCCTCGCCTCTCTCCCTGCTCCTCCCCATCCTCCCTCCCACTGCCCCCTTCTTCTCTTTCAAATCCTCCCAGGAGGCGGAGGCGGAGGAGGACGAGGAGGAGGAGGAGGAGGAGGAGGAGGAGGAGGAGGAGGGGAGGAGAAGGCGGACGAGGAGAAAGAGAAGGAGGAGGAGGAGGAGGAGGAGGAGGAGGCGGGATGTTTCTCCATCTTTTCTCCAACTCCCGTTTCCTCCCCCTCTTTTTTATCCCTCTCTTCGCCGCCCCCCCGGCTGCCTCCCCCTTCGCTCCCTCCTCCCCCCATGCTCCTCCTCCTCCTGCTCCTCCCCCTGTTCCGACCGATCCAGGTCAGCTAAAAATAGATGCCTCCTGGGATCCATCCTGGCCGTTTGTCGCCTGAGCTCGCGTTTGCAAGTAACGGGACACGGAACGCACCCCCCAGAAGCCGAGATTGGGAACAACAAGCTATTGTTCGATTTTCCTCCGCATCGCGCTCGCAAGCAAGGATAAGCCCAAGACGTATGAAAACGCCGCCTGCTATGGCACGAAAGCCTTTGGAGTCCAAGGATTGGTGGCCAAACCCCACCTGCACCTCCTCCTGAGGGGTCCTGCCCTCACGCAAAACGTGCGCGCGGGTCATTACCTTAGATCGGGCATCTCCTCCTACAGGCGGGTCTTGGACGAAAACAAGAGAACAGTGAACAAATGCCCGAGAATAGTCAAACATGGTAGAAAACAAAACATCCCCTGACTTTTTTTCTGCTATTCTTGAACTTTCCTCCTGTAGAGCGGCATGCCCGACTGAATCCTTCCCGCCGCCCGACCAAAATGATCGGGCGCCTGCACATTCCTCCGCCGCCCCTCAGACAGGGCGGCTCTGCCGCCGGCTGTCTGTGAGACAACTCGGCGTCGGGCGAGGTCGGGAAGTGAGAAGGGGAAGGCCTTCTCAGAATGGGGGGCCACATGCGAACCCTACCCCTACCCCCCACGATTTCTGAGGCCCCCTCAGAAATCGTGGGGGGTAGGGTAGGGTTCGCATGTGCCCCCTACACTAGGCGGCGGGACTTCTCAGATGCCCGCGCGCCTTCTGAAAAGTTTTCTGTCACCGGGGAAGGCTCAGGAACCATCTGAGAAGGCTGGGCGACTCCCGAGCCTCCTGCGCAGGCTGGCCCCTTCCAGACCCCCGACGCCGTGATTTTTGCCTGGCGTGACCCTCAGAAGTCTGGACCCTTCCTGGGGACCAGCTATTCATCCTCTAGTATTTTCCTGACGGGTCGCCGAAGCCCGGCAAGGGCCCCTGGAGGCCGAAAGTAGCGACAAACCTGCCGTCGTGATTTTTGTTCACGGCGCGAGGGTGTCAAGGCGTCTCACCCCCCCCGGGCTCGCCGCCGAACAACGGCCACTCCTGGGGGAGAGGACTGCTAGCCGGGGGGCTGCTCGACGCTGCTTTACCGGGGAGCGCTCGGCGCCGGCCCCCGCAGGAAGGTGCGTAGTGTTAGGCCGAGCTTGCAGGGAGATTTTGGACGGAATATATAGAATAGAATAGCAGAGGATAGAGGATAGTCCAAAATCGTCCCCAGACTATTTCCTAACTATTTTCAAATATTCCTCCTGTAGAGGGACAGGCCCGACTGAAGTGTAGTGGGCCAGGAGCAAGGGCCCGCCCCGCGCTGGCTGCCCCGCGCCCCTCTCCTCCTCCTCCTCCTCCTCCTCCTCCTCCTCCTCCTCCTCCTCCTCCCCCTCCTCCTCTTCCCTCCTCCTCCTCCCTCCCCCCTCCTCCTCCCTTTCCTCCTCCTCCTCCTCCCTCCTCCTCCTCCTCCTCCTCCTCCTCCTCCTCCTCCTCCTCCCTCTCCTCCCCTCCTCCTTCCCTCGTCCCTCCCCTCCTCCCCCTCCTCCTCCCCCTCCTCCCCCTCCCCCTCCTCCCCCTCCTCCTCCCCCTCATCCTCCTCCTCCTCCTCCTCCTCCTCCTCCTCCTCCTCCGTGCCCCCTCCGCCGAGCATACAGCTCCAGCGCCGCCGAGGCGGGCGCATTGCGCGGATGCCCTTGAGCTGCCCGATGCCGCTCCACGCGGCGCAGTCCTGGGCGGGAGCGGGGGGGGGCGCGGCGGCAGGGGAGGGAGGCAAGGGGGAGACTGGGGGGAGGAGGGAGGAGGTGGAGGGGGGGAGGGGGAGAAGGAACGGGGGGACTGGGGGAGGAGGAGAAGGAAGATGGAGGATGAGGGCGTGTAAAAAGGTGGTGCGGGCGGAGGAGGGAAGAGGAAAATAGGGAGGGAAGAGGGTATCGGAGTATCGGGTCCCTGAACATTGCCAACCTTTTTGAAGAACATGCACCCGCTAACCTCTCTCGCGAGCACTGGGCCGAGCACCGGGACCTCCCTGAAGCGATAGTGCCGCTTGCTGGGATACCACCTCGCCACACGACGCCCTGATAGCGTACACCAGGAGCCACCGAGCATACGAACGAGGAAACAGCGTGAACAACACCTGTCGAGGTAGGCCGCGGCACACCCGGAGTAACACTGCGTCTGTAATCCTAGACAGCAGAATTTCACGTGGGCGGTGCCTCCCAACACGTACAAGCAACAGCACAGAACCGCCTCACGCCCGTCGCGACCGACACCAGCGAACGACGTGGAAACGCCGAATAGCATTGGATTCGCTACCCCAGCGGTACCATCTCTGTAATGCCGCACGGCAGAACTGTATCCACCAACACCCCCCAAAACCTAAGAGGGGAAGTCAAACCCGCCGAGACATTATGCACGGCGGCCTGGGTAAAACTGCAAGTGCTAAATACTGGCGCACGGACGAAACACGATGCTTCAAGGAACACCCGCGCCGAACTGGTGAACATAAATATGTACAAGCATTTGCACGCTTATGGCTCATATAAATACGTACCGATATCTACATATATATATATATATATATACACACGAATACTACAGTGAACCTGTAAAAATAACCCTACACAGTGTTTGCCCTGTAGGGTGCTTACTTCTTTTCTACAGAACTAGGCCTGTGCGTCGGTCTGGCGGCTATGCTGTCGCCGTCGTCACCCCGTCACCGCCTCGTCGCCGCCCATCGTCTGGGCCTGTGCGTCGGTCTGACGGCTATGTTGTCCCCGTCGCCGCCCAGTCGCCGCCCACCGTCTGGGCCTGTGCGTCGATATAGCGGCTACGGTGTCTCCGTCGCCGCCCCGTCGCCGCCCATCGTGAGGTGCTGTGCGTCGGTCTGGCGGCGGCCATGTTGTCGCCGTCGCCGCCCCTTCGCCGCCTCGTCGCGGCCTCGCATACTTGCAACACGCTTGCACCACATAGATCGCACAACATATTTTGTACCACATAGACCGCACAACATAGGATACACCACACAGATCGCACCGCGTAGATGGCACCACACAGATCGCACCACGCTGATTGCACCACGTAGATTGCATAACATGTATTGCACAACAAAGATAGCGCAACATAGATCGCGACACAACTATTGCACAACAGAGCTCTCGCAGCGTATATTGCACCACGCAGGTCGCACATCATAGACATCACCACATATCTCGCACCGCATAGATTGCACCACGCAGAGTGCACCACATAGGTTGCACCACCTACCTTGCACAGCATACATCGATCAACTAAACATGCCATAACATGGATTGTCTTGCGTATATAGCACGCCATAGATCGCGCAACATCGGCCAACCCACATCTATTGTACCACAACGGGTGCACCGCAGATACTGCACCAAGTGTACTGGCCCACATCGTTTGCACCACAAATGTTATAGTAAGCACGTTGGTTGGGGTCCACACTGGCAAGCACATGCACATTTGTGTGTATGTGTTGATGCGTAAATGAGTTGCTGTGCGCATGTATGCATGCATACATGGATACATACGCGTGCGTGTGTGCGTGTGTGCAGCCGGGCAGTGGTAGTTGAGGACACACCAACCCCAGCGAAGACTACTGCTGCACCTTCGCCCAGGTCTCGCCAACGCCCACCTAGATCAATGCGAGCTCCATCCCTGGGGCGCGCCCCTCGGGCGCAACGTGGAGGCACCGAGCGTGACCCGAGGCTCGCCATCGGCCGGAACGGCAGCGGGGAGGCACGAGCCGCAGATGCATGCCCGAGAGAAGGAATGAGGAGGGAGGAGGACGGAACAGGGAGGAAGGAGGGAGGCGGAGCAAGACGGGGCGCGGAGGACTGTTCACGCATCTATGCTTCAATGGAGCTGTCAGGGGTCAGGCCTCGAAGTGGGGCGGAGGAGGCGTATGGAGGTGGGGAGAAGGCTTGATCAGAGTTCTAGAGGTACCTCCACTAGGGACTCACACCGTCGGAGGGGCGGAGGAGAAAGGAGAATAAGCAGGAGGAGGATGAGGAGAGACGACGAACTGAGGGCGAAGGGGAGACAGAGGGAGGCATGAGGGAGGAGGGGTACAGGAGAAAAAAGACGAGGAGAGACAGCCCAGAGGGTGAGGAGAGAGGAGGAAGGAGAGGGAGGGATGAGGAAGAGGGTGAGGTCGGCCTCGATGGTCCTCCTCCTCCTCCTCCTCCTCCTCCTCCTCCTCCAGGTCGTCTTTGGTTTCGTTTCTTCAAGCGCGTCGTGCGCTGGTTTGACCAGCCAGCTGCAGCGAGAACTTGTTCTGCGGCTCTCGTGCAGCAGCCGCCACACTCGAGCTTCAGGCTGGAAGTGGGAGGCGAGGTAAGGGAGTGGCCCGCCCTCCCTTCCTGCTGCCATGCCTGTGTTTTTTTCACCCTAGCCGTGAGGGGACCGACCGCGCCGATCTCGGGCGATGGGTGGCCGCCTCGGATCGAGCTTGTGGTGAATCTGCGTTGGATTGGTGGCTTCGCACCGCGCGGTGGGCATGGGGAGGGTGGACTGCCATCCCGTGTTTTGTTCGCCGCCAGTGGGCGCCGCAGGGCCTGCGCAGGCGCCCCGCGTGCTCCTTCGGCGCGGCCTCAACCTGCTGGGCGGCCGCACCCCTTCTCGGTGGGGGTGTGGCCGTGCGTCCACGGGATGCGGTACAACAGCCAAAAGGTCGTACTCCCCCCGTGAAACCTGAGTCCCAAACCCCTCCCGCACCGCGCTCGCGCGCAAGATTCAGAACCGAATTCAAGGGGCCCAAGGACACACAACTGAATACACGCAAATAAAACGATGCCCCATATTTTCCCATGTTTTCTCGTTTTTTGTTGTCTTCCCCCCCCCCTTCCCATAGTTTCCCATATTGTCTTGGGGATCGAAGATTGATTGTGTCTGTGTGATGTTTCCCCTCCTGACGAATGCCGCCCGTGGCGACCCGAAGCCCTCCCAGAGAGGCCCACGCACGGGGCGGAGCGCGCCCCGACCCGCGAAGAGCCTCGATCCTCGAGGCCCTCCCGCCTCGCCGCAGGGAGCCCCCCATTCGACGTTCCCCCCAGCAGCTCCACACAGAGGCCTCCCTCCCCCCCTCCCCCCCTCCCTCCTCCCCTGCCTCCACCCTCTCCCTGCCCCTCCCCCCCCTCCCTCCCCCTCCATCCCTCCACAATTACTCAATATGAAAATACTCTCCCTCTTCCCCTGATGGCGTCCGGGTGATGGCCGCGCACCCTCCGCGTACTGTTTTTTTACACACAGGATGCCCGGGAAATCCCGGGAAACGACTCTCGCTGAGGCGCCGGCGTCATTTTTTCCCAAAATGCTGCTCTCGTTGAGGCGCCGGCCTCATTTCTGCTCCCGAATCGTTCCGAATCGTGCTCCCGCTGCAGCGTGGGCCTCATTTTCGGATCGGTGTTTGGCCTCCGTCGTTCAGGATGGCGTTCTCGCCCCAGCGCGGGCCTTTTCTCGCGCGCCCATCCGCCCGCCACCACCGCGCCGCACCGCCACCACCACCACCACCACCACCACCACCACCACCACCAACCACCACCAGCACCAGCACCAGTACCACACCACCACCACCACCACCACCACCACCACCAGCACCACCACCACCAGCACAGCACCAGCACCACCACCACCACCACTACCACCACCACCACCACCACCACCACCACCACCACCACCACCACCACCACCACCACCACCACCACGACAACCACGCACACACTCACGCACGCACGCACGTGCACCACCACCCACTACGCACGCGCGCGCGGAGCCACAGGTCCGCTAGGACACGCGTCCGCGGATAGAGAAAATCAGCGCCATGGTAAGGGATGGGAGGGAGGGGTAGGACGTCAGATATGACGCGAGCGCACCTAGCTTGCCCCCCCCCTCCCTCCCTCCCCTCCCCTCCCTCCCCTCCCTCCCCTCTCCCTCCCCTTCGGTGTTCACCCCAGCAGCTCCACACATCGGGCCGGGCGAAAGGGGGGGATAGCAAAGGGGGGGTTTGAGAATCAGCTCACGTAGCTGATTTTCCCGGCGCCTCCCGGCGCCGGGAGGTGCCCACGTGTCGAGGAATGGGCCCGGCGGCGGGGCCGCAACCAGCTGCATGCAGCAGCTTTCGTACCTCCCCTCTCTCCCTATCCCCCCTTTCGTCCGGCCCGAACATAGAGACCTCCTGGATGGAGTCGGAGTAGATGGGGTTGGGGGATCGCGACGCATCGCTGCTGCATCGGCGATGCATCGCCGATGCACCGGCGATGCGTCGTCGGCGTGGGCGATGCATCGGCGATGTCGACGTGAAGCAGATCGGGCTCCACATCGAGCCGCATCGGCGATGCATCGGCGATGCGGCGCGATCCGCCGACCCCATCTGCTCCGATCCCGTCCAGGAGGCCTAGGCCACAGCAGCTTCGGCCCTGCACCTTGCAGCGCGGAGGGCGCCGAGTACTCCGAGGAACAGTCAAGGTACTCCTAATCCTTTGGGAAGGGACCTAAGTTCGGAGGGCCAAGAACATCATGGACAAGGGGGTCTCTTTGCAGGCGTGTCAGACGAAACCACCTCCATGTTTACGGATCACACCCTGGAAACGGATGACCTGACTCAGGCCACGAGTTCATCATGCCATTCGGCTTCGGGGTCGTCTTGTGCTTCATGGTGCTCCAGGCCGAGGCCACGTCCCAGCGTGCAGCGCAGCATTCGAGGGCGCGGTGGGGGCGAATAGCCCAGGGGAGAGCAACACCTCTCTCCAGGGGCGCCGATGGTCCATGCCTTCGGCGAGGCTCCCCCGGGCGAATGCGCGTAGTGCCCGCGCCCGGGCTGGTCGCCCTCGTCGCCGCCTCCGAGGAATTGCCCTTCGCTGCCGCAGACCCGGCGCGCGCGCAGACCGGTCGAACCGCCTAGGGCCGCTGGACGGCGCACCCAGAGGGGGCCCAGGGGCACGCGAAGAGAGAAACAGACACGAGTCCCATGCCTCCCAACTAGACAGACACGCGTCCCAGGACTCCCAGAGACGAGACACATCCTGGAATGTCGACTCCACCTCCGCTTCCCATTGATATATTCTCCCACATCTTCCTGGGACTTGGACGCCCAAAATGGGTACGGAAAGAGTGGGCACAATGCCCAACAACAAAGGTTGTCCCAAACCAACAGCGGCCGCTGTTGGGCGGGCGGCCTTCTGTCTCAAATGGACACAGGCCGCGGCGGCGCTGAAAGCGAGTCCTGTTCAAAATGAACAAGAGCCGCTGTTGGGCATTGTACAGTCGGGGGCTTGACCTAAGGAACCCAAAATAATTAAGGAACGAGGCCCCTTTTTTCCATGAGTTAAACTTCGATTTCCCTTCGAAAACCTAAGGAAATCCTGAGGCAAGCTGTGAAACACTTAAGGAACACCGAGCCCCTCCCCAACGAACAACGTTCCTTCTTCAAGGCCCCGACTGTACCCATTCTTTCCGTGCCCATTTCGTTCGTGCAGATGGGAGGCGACGGTCCTTAGCGTCCGCGTGGGATTTCTCTCCCCTCCTGGAGCAGCAGAAAGGACACGCCGCCGTGGGGCGCCCACCCGCGCACTGCTGGCGGCAGAGGCGCCAAGTTGCCCCGGAAACCCGCAGCGGAGCGGCGAGGCGCCAAGTTGCTCCAAGTTCCGAGGCGCCAAGTTGCTCCGAACGCGGTGGCGGCGGCGGTGGTAACCAGCCGTCTCCTCCTCCTCCTCCTCCTCCTCCTCCTCCTCCTCCTGCTCCTCTTCCTCCTCCTCCTCCTCTTCCTCTTCCTCCTCCTTCTCCTCCTCCTCCTCCTCCTCCTCCTCCTCCTCCTCCTCATCATTGTCTTCCTCCTCCTCCTCCTCCTCCTTCTCCTCCTCCTGTAATCCGCGTGCCCCCCCTACAGGGGCACCCCAGACGTGCGAGGCCCTGACTTTTGCAGGGCGGCGTCCCGGGAAACCCCGACCCTTGCGACCCCCAGGGCCTGCTTCTCGCCCCAAGGCGCTTCTGGACGGCCCGGGGGGCCCGGCGAGGGCCCCCTCGGGGCCGAGCCTCGCGAGGAGCCTCCCGCCCTGATCCCTGCACGACGCGAGCCTGTCCTGCGCACCCCTGCTCCCTCTCCCGAGGCAGGTCCGCCCCGGCCTCGAGCCAGGCAGCGCCCCGCGCCCCACAGGGCGCGCTCGGGGCCAGGCCCCCTCGCGAGGGGGGGGAGCGGCCAGAGCCGCGCGGGGGGGCCGACCGCGAGGCCGACTGGCCGAGGCCCCCCCCCCTCCGAGCGTACACCTCTGCTGCTGCGCGGCGGGCCCCGTGCGCCGCTCCCTCCGCGCTCCTGCCTCCGCCTGCCCCCCGCCTCACGCCCCCTCGGGCAGTGACCGAGAAAAATCACGGCGGGAGGCCTTTTGCTCGGGGTTATGGCTGCGTTCGGCCCCTGGGGGCCCCTGCCGGCCCTCGGGGCCGTCACAGAACGACTCGGGATGAGCAGCGGGTCCAGGGGAGGAGGTCGAGACCTCCAGGGGTCGACGCAGTGGAAAAAGCATGACCTCGGGGGTCTGGGGTGGCATCTCACGGCAGTCCCGGACCTCCGACGCCGAGATTGTTCACAGCGTCGGCCCCCAGAGGCCTGGACCCCTCCCTGGGGACCGGCCCTTCCTCCCGAATCGTGTTCTGACGCTCCCGAGGCCCGGGAAGGGCCCCCGTGAGGCCGGAAACGGCGCAAAACCTCCCGCCGCGATTCTGTTCGCAGCGCGAGGAGGTCTGGGAGGGAGGAGGGAGGAGGGAGGAGGGAGGAGGAGGAGGAGGAGGAGGAGGAGGAGAGGAGGAGAGGAGGAGGAGGAGAGGAGGAGGAGGCTTGCGCGTCGACGCTGGCGGGCGCCACTCGACGCTGGGCGCTGCGAGCCGGCCGAACGCAAGCGCCCAGATCTGGGGGCCTTGGCCCCGCGAGCGCGGCCCTCCGCGGTGGGCCGGGCCCGCGTCCCGCGGAGCAGGAGAAACACCAGCATGACGCGCACGTCCTATAGACCTCCTCCTCCTCCTCCTCCTCTCCTCCTGACCCCTCCTCCTCCTCCTCCTCCTCCTCCTCCCTCCTCCTCCTCCTCCTCCTCCTCCCTCCTCCTCCTCCTCCTCAGGAGAAAAGCATGACGCGCACGTCCCAGGCCTCCTCGCGCTGTGAAAGGCTCACGACGGAAGAGTTGTCACGACCTTCGGCCTCCAAGGGCCCTCGCTGGGCCTCTGGCGCGGACCCGGGCCGGGCCCGAGTCCCGCAGAGCAGGAGAAACACCGGCATGACGCGCACGTCCCAGGCCTCCTCGCGCTGTGAAAGGCTCACGACGTAAGAACTTGCACGACGTTCGGCCTCCGGGGGCCCTCGCTGGGCCTCGGGCGCGTCAAAAAACGACTCAGGACGATCGGTCGCGACCCATCGCGAATCGGTCGCGACCGGTCGCCGCCGATCGCGACCGATCGGTCGCGACCGATACTGAAATTTGAAGCAAAATCCGTAGAGACCGTTCTCGCCGGTCGCGACTGGAAAATTCCAGTATCCAATGATCAGGGCACGGCTGGCTTTTCGCCCCGAATCGTTGTCTGACGCTCCCGAGGCCCAGCGAGGGCCCCCGGAGGCCGAAAAGAATGAAAAACCTTCTGTCGGGCTGCTTTTTCGTCCTGGATCGGTGCCTGGCGCTCCCGAGGCCCCGCGAGGGCCCCCGGAGGCCGAAAAACGATGCAGGACCTTCTGTCGCGCTCTTTCGCGGCGCGAGGAGGCCGAGAACAATGCAAAACCTTAACTATATGTCGTGATTTTTTGGGTCTGGGATGCGCGCGCATCGTCCGCGCGGGACTCTCCGATCGGCGCCGGAGAGATCCGGAGAGCCCCCTCCCCGGCGCGCGGGCGAGGCGCCGCCCGGGGCGACGGGGCCCGGCGCCGCTGCGAGGGATGCGCGCAGAGCCTTCGGAAGCTTTCGCTGACATGCAATGATTTGTTATTATGTTGCTTCGTCGTATTATTACTCTGCCTTACGTTGTAATATGATGGAATATTCTTATGTAGTATTACTGCTGCCTTGCGTAGTATTCGTACGTATGTCTTCTTATGTAGTATTATTACTCTGCCTTGTTCTTCGTATTATCGTTAATTTTCCTAGCCTTGTTAGTAGTCTTGTTGTTGTTGGTCTTCGTATTCTTCCTGGTTCGAGAACTGAAGATCGGCGGCGAGCGAGGAAGGGAAGCGAGAAGGAGAAGGCCTTCTCAGAAACTAGTGCTTGTATGCAAGTTCTTCTCCCTTCGCAAACCAATCAAAGAAAGACGGCAACCCCGACGCCTCATGCTTCAACGATCGACTTTCGGCATGGTCCGCGCCTTTGGGCACCTTCCGCAGCAAACGGCGGACTGCCACGCTGCCAAGTCCTTCCCGAGAGCGCCCCGGCAGAAAGCCGAAGATGTTGCGTCGTCTCACGCTAGCGCGTGGCCGTTGATGTTCTCGGCACGAATTGGCGGTGCGCAGAAGGGGGTGGAGGGAGGGGGGAGGGCTTCTTAGAAGGAGGATGCTTCTTAGAAGGCGCTGGCCTTACATCTGCAGATGAGGCCCGCGCCTTCTCAGAAGCAGGGGTGCTTCTGAGAAGCCCTCCCCCCCCTCCCCTCTGCGCGTGGCAGAACGAGGCCGCGCCCACGGTCGGGGACCTGTGCGTGGCGTGCCGCCGGCCGGCGGCCCCGGCGCCACGCCCTGCCCCACGAGCGGAGAGAATTCGCCTCGCTCCGCGCCGCGGGGCGGGCGCCTCGGAGAGTTGGGCGCTCGAGTTATCCGGGGTAACTCGGGTCCGGGGTAACTCGGGTTTGGATTCCCGAAAAACGAACCCGAGTTATCCCTGACCCGAGTTACCCCTGATGATTCGGGGCTCTGAGAGAGGCTCGGCGCGCGGGCGCCCGAGGGGGGCCGCGGAGTGGCCGGCGCCCCGCCGAAGCGACGCGGCCCAGAAGCGGCGGAGCGACACTCTGCCCGGAAGTGTCCGGCCGCCTGCCCGTATAGAGTGGTGGATGCCACGACGATGGACACCCCAACAGTCCGATCACGGAATGTTTGTTTTGAATGCTTGGCAGATGTTTTGAACAATGGTGCTCGGTCTAAACATGTTTCTACATATGTGTAGACATGTGAGCGATTTTGGGGATTGAAACAGGGGACCAAAAACAGCCAAGATCTACTCCACGGGGGGGGAGGGCGGGTTGGGGGCCCGCGCCGATCGGCAACAACAAGGAATAAAAAACGATCACTATGTTTTAACATGCTGCTCACACCTGGAAATTGTTTGGCCGCATGCCTCTTCTCTCTTGCTCGCCTCCCGCAGCCACAGCACAGCCGAAAAGCCCCACCTCGCTCGAGGCCCCGAGTCCACCCTCGTCGCGAGAGAGAGGCCCTCCGCCCCTTTCGGGGCCGCCGCCGCCCTGAGGGGTGGGGGAGGGAGGAGGAGGAGGAGGAAGAGAGAGGAGGAGGAGGAGGAGGAGGAGGAGAGAGGAGGAGGAGGAGGAGGAGGAGGAGGAGGGGAGGAGGAGGAGGAGGAGGAGGAGGAGGAGGAGGCGGGGAGGCGCGCTCCTCCTCGCCGCCGAGGGCCCCGGAGGGCCTCGCCGAGAGCAGGTCCAGGCGCTGGTAGCTTGGGCCCACCGTCTGGGGGCGCAGCCAGGCGCCAACCGCCGCCGCCGCCGGCGTCGTCCTCCTCGTCCTGGCCGCCGCTGTCTGCGACGGCCGTCCTCCCCGCTCCGCTTCGTCCTCGTCGTCGTCGTCGTCCTCCTCCTCCTCCTCCTCCACCTCCTCCTCCTCCTCTTCCTCCTCCTCCTCCTCTCCCCCGCTCTACCCCCCTCTTCGCCTCTCTCCCGTTCGCTCCGCCTCTCTCCGCCTCCTCCTCTTCCTCCTCCTCCTCCTCCAAATCCTCCAAATCCTCCTTCAGCTCTTCCCTCCTCCTCCTACTCCTCCCGTGTCCTCCTCCTGTGTCTTCCTCATGCTGCTCCTGTATCGACCTCTATTGTCTGCCATGCTTCACCTCGTCCTCCTTGCCATTACGTTCGCATCTCACCTCATCATCCTCTCTTCCCCTCGCTCCTACTCTGGTCTACAAGCCCCGATCCCATTCCTCTCCATCCACTCTCCCCGTCTCCCTCTCCTCCCCCTCTCATCCACCCTCCCTCTGCCTCCTCCCGCTCCTCATCTTCTCCATCTCGTGCCTCCTTCACTTCCCCATTCCGCTTTCCATTTCACACCCCATCGCTTCCTCCCCCTCTCCTATACCGCTCCCCCTCATCTCCACCCTCCTCATGGTGCGTTGCCAGGGGTACAGTCGGAACAATCAACCAACCAGACCCGTCTCCCAGAACTCATCCGCCAACATCTCACCGTCTTGGGAGGAGCAACTCAATATCAATGACACGCCTCCGTGGGGGACACACCATCGCGTGACCGTGAAAGAAAACACCAGCCCTTCGAAGCCAAACGAAGGAGCAACACACTAACGAGCTCCGAACGGCGACGAGATGTCATCGATACTAGTTTGCCCTCCCGACCTATTTTTCCTCCCAGCCTGCGCCCTCCTTGCCCGAGGCCCATGGACGAGACGGGAGAACGCCTCGCGCCGCTTCGCGGCAGAGCAGGGGATGCGCGGGAAGCCAAACGGCCCCAAGGTGGCCCCACATGGCGGATTTCGCAAACCCTGAACCCCAAAAAACGTGCTCATCTCTTGGGGGGGGGGGCACGCTTTACTTCCGCCACCTCTCGCCGGCCTCCGCCCCAGCGGAGGCGGCATCGTTTTCCCTCGGCCGACCTTCCGCCACCCTTCCGCCGAGGAAGAGACGACAGCTCCTGACACCCTCGAAGGCAGGGCAACGTTTGGCCAACGTTTGGCACGCCCCATGGAGAGCCCGAGAGGGTCGCAAGAACCCCCCGAGGGGCTCCAGAGAAGCCCGAATCACTGCTTCGGCGGCGGCGCGCCTGAGGGGGCGGGCCTCCTCAGAAGGCTCGGACGTCTCCTGGCTCTCCGAGGAGCTCTCTGAGCTTGCCCCGAGGGCACGAAGCACTCCTCGGAAGGCCGGAGGGCCTCGGGCGGCCTCTGGGAAGTCCGAAGCCCCGCCGCCGTCTGAGGGAGCCTTCTCCCTTTCGCTTTCTCGGGAGCGGCCATGAGGGGGGCGTCCAAGAGAGGGAGGGGGGTGCAAATCATGACCGGCGGCATGTGCGCGGCCCAGCGGGGGGACCAGGGAAGTAATGAAATAAGAAGAGGCGCCATAAAACCTGGGGAAATATCATGGCCCCCGCCATGATATCCACCCCCCCTAGTCATCACCCCCCTCGTCGCCGACCCCGACTTTCCCCCCCGCGCTCGCCGCCCGGAAGCTACCTGCGCGAGTACGTACAGTCAACCCGTGCAGAAAGGATGCATGATCAGGAGGCAGGGGGCCTCGGGAAGGCCACCTCGAAGCCTCGCGAGCGGGGCGCGGCCAACGCAAGCGGCCAAGGATGCACCGGGGAGGCAAGGATGCAAAAGGGCACCCCTGGGAAGGATGCTCCTCCGGCCTCTCGAGCACCGCCCGCGGGCAGCGGCTCGCGCACGAGCACGCACCGCGCCCGAAGGGCGGCGCTCGCGGCGACCTCCCCGCGCGCCGGCGCGCGCCGCGCCCCGCCGTGCGGGGTGCAGCGGCACGACGGCGGCCCGCGCGCCCCCCGCCCCGGGCCTGCCCCGCCGGGGTCGGGCGCACGCTGCGGGCAGGAGAGAGGAGGCGCCACTGGATGAAGAGTCCAGGGTCCCAGGCGAGAGTGCCCGCGGAGCCCCAGCTCAGCTGCTGCTGCCCCGCGCCCCCCCCCCCAAACCTGATGTGGCCACGAACCCCGACCCTGGGAGGACGAGTGGGCGTGACTCGCGAGGACGAGGAACACAAAGAAGAGGACGCCTATAGGGTGCATCATGCTGCTTCCCGTGCTGTCCGTTTGACGCTGTGCCGCTGTGAGGCGCATTGTGCTGGTTCCCGTGCTGTCCGTTTGACACTGTGCCACTTTGTCGGGGTGTCTCCGACCATCTTGGAGCCCTGTTGGGCAGCCTGCGAGAGTGCCCACGGAGCCCCAGCTCAGCTGTTCCCCCGCCCACCCCCCAACAAAAACGAGCACGCGCGCCACAAGAGCCTCCCCATATGACAGCTCAACACGACCCCCAAGAGCGCTAGGGTGCTTTGTACCACCTCTGTGCATCCGCTGCGGGCGTCCTGGATCGGCAGCACAGGCCAGAGGCCACTACAATGAGGCACCATTGGATATATATATATATATATATATATATATACATATATAGAGAGAGCCCAGGGTCTGGAAGCCGATGGAACACCAATGGCGGCTTGGCCAGGGATACCACCACCGCATCCCTCAGCAAGTACAGTCGGGGCGTTGACCTAAGGAACCCTAAATCAGGAAAGACGCCCCTTCTGTCCATAAGTGATAAGTGAAGCTTCGATTCTCCATCGAAAACCTAAGGACAGCCCCAGGCAAGCTGCGCAATAATGAAGGAACACGGAGCCCCTTACGGGGCGTGAAAACGACCACAGCCACTGCTTTCCTTTTTCTGCCGCCTTCCAGCCCGCAGAAACAAAGCAGTGGCTGTGGTCATTTTCGTGGAGCTTGGCACACGGGAACTGACCACACCCACTGCTTCTTTTTCGGCCGGCTGGGAGGCGGCGCAAACAAGAAGCAATGGCTGCGGTCATTTTCCCGTCCCGCACCCTGCCCAACGAAACGGGCTCCTTGTTCAGCGCCCCGACTGCAAGGAGCCATCCGGGGCCCGAAGCCCCAGGGGCACACCCCTTGACGCACGCCCCCCAGCCGTACCAGGGCGCGGGGGCCTGGCGCGAGGGCGCCGGATCCAGGGCTCGGGGAAGACGGCCGACGGCGCCCCCAGGACGGCCCATCGGGTCCGGAGGAGGAGGAGGAGGAGGAGGAGGAGGAGGAGGAGGAGGAGGACCCAAGTTTCCAAGCAGCCCCGAGGTGTCCCCAAGAGGGCCCAAGGGGCCTGCTGAAGGCCCCTGGTGTAGAGAGCCCAAGCGCCCTCGCGCTGCATGATGTTTTTCAGGCGAGGTAGGCCCCACCCCACGTGCGCAGAGTGGCAAGCTGGTCCCAGCAACGGAACACAGACGTCGATAGCGGATGGGCCCGCACAGCCAAACAAGCATCGATCGGGGATGGACCGAACCCCCTTTAGTAAAACGTGGTTTAGTGAAAACGGCCTCGGGCCCAAACCTGGCGGGCGCAAGCCTGGAAAATGACGGCCGCGGCGCCCTCTCGAGAAGCTAACACGGACAATTCACTAATTGACGTGCCAGGGTGGGGGTTCTGTCCACCCCCGAATCGATAGCGGAGGGGCCGGCACGCCCATTCCGGACGTGCACCCCACGATGCGAGAGAAAGCTCCACGGATCGGGGAAGGTACACCCGAAGCACGGCGCCCGATCTGGCGACGGCGCGAGCCGCTGCGGTGCGGAAGCGGAGCCCCCCGCGGGAATCCGTGTCTGCGTTTCCTCGGCCCAGGGCCGCGCATCCAGCAGATTCAGCAGATCCCCCCTCCTTCCCTTCTTGAGGGCAACAGGCAATGACATAAACATACAGCTCGGAGATCCGCGCGGATTTCTCGGACCCCGCGCTGGGTCCCCCTGGCGGCGCCTCCGCGGCCGCCCCTGGCGCGCTTCGCGCGCCAGGGAGGGGGGTCAAGCGCCGATCCGAATGTTCCGCGCGGACCTCCGAGTTTTTAATGTTTATGTCATTGTTCGTTCCCCTATTCTTGTGCACCCGGCCGTCAATCTTCTCACACTCCCCATCATGCCCCTCGCGCTCCCCCTCCTCATCATCCTACTGAGGACTTCGCGCACAGAAGCAGTACAGATGAAGACAAACGGGCAGGCAAGAAAAGGAGGAACAGACCATCCGTTCTCGGGATGGTCTTGCAAATGGAGGCGGAGGTGGAAAGGGGTATCCGTTCTACGTCCTCTCGATATACAATTCACACAGCCCTCCTCCTGCCGCCACGCCTTCTCTTCGTCGATCGTCGTCGAAAGTCGTCGTCGTCGTCGATCGTCGATCGTCGATCGTCGATCGTCGTCGTCGTCGTCGTCGTCGTCGTCGTCGTCGTCGTCGTCGTCGTCGTCGACCGTCGAAATGTCCGTTCGCAGCCCTCCCATCGAGAAGCAACGCGCGCGCGCGCCCTCGTCATGGATCCCCAGCTGGGCTGCGGGGTCTCCTCCACGCGGGCGGCGGGAAGCACATGGGAGGACTGGGCGAGGACGGGGAGGGTCGCGGAGGCACACGCCTGGCGTCTTCGAATGGTCTGGGTCGACTGGGTGGGCCGAGTGGAGCACGCGAGGCTCGTGGAAGTGCGGGGGAGGACGAGGAGGATAGGGGCTAAGGAAGACGCGTGGGAGGAGGCGGAGGGCGAGGGGTGGGAGGATGGTGGGGACTCGGATAGATCGCACGTGCGCAGCTCTGAACGCGGCAGAGGCTGGTTGGAGCGAGTCGTCGCAATCATGCTATCGTGTACGATGTTCAGGCGTCTGGACACAAGCGAGCTGCCTCATGCTGATCATCCATTCGAGGTGAGAGTAGCCCTCCTCGACATTCGGCAGCACGGAACGGTCGCACCCACTTCGGCTTGCGTGCGTGATCTGTGGACAAGGAGCAAGGAAGGGAGGCATGAGAGGGAGTGCCCTCTCAGTTATAATCCCTACCAGCCTTTTCGGGCGTATGTGGTTCAGCGCGCTTCTTCTTCTTTTTCTTCTTCTTCTTCTTCCAACCCCCGTTCTTTCCCGTTTGGGGGGATTTCACCCCTCCCACTACATCGTACCCCTGGGTCTGGATGGGACGCCCCGCGGATCGGGACGGCGTCCAAGAAGGCCCCAGCGACAAGGCACATACGCATCAGTGATTTCTTTAGGTGCTGGGCCAATATCGGCCTCCCGGGGTGGTGGTGGGGGGCGGAGCCGCTGTCAAGGGGCCCTCCCTTCTGCAACCGGCAGCCTCCCCAAGTGGCAACAAGAATATCCGAATGGCACCCTCAGGGGCCCCCAAGAAGCCTCCGAGAGGCCACCCAAGCGCACCACAGATACGTCAAGAACCCCCCCCCAAGAGCAAGCAAGAAGCCTCCTACGGTGGATGGACAAAATTCTGCACCAACCGCGCCACCGGGACGACGGCGCAAACGTCCACGCGCCCTCCTGCCCCCGACTCAAGGTTGATTGGCTGCGCCCGCGGTCGGCAGCTCGACACATCGCGCCACAGCCCGTCAATGTTACATTGGGGGCGCGGGGGGCGAAAACAGACATCGGGAAAAAGATGTTGTCCACCAACCGTAGGACGGCCCAGTATGCCGTGAAGGGGCCTTCAATATAAAAAAATAAACCCCAAGAGGCCCACGTAAACACAGCCAGTGGTTCCTGTGCCCCACGCAGGCCCCCCCCCCGACAGCTCCAAGACATGCCACGCTCCCCCGCGTGCAGGGCAGCTCCGCTGGGTGTCGGTGTGTGTGCATTGGGCTGGTGCGGGTACGGGAAGCGTTCGGAATCGCGCTTTCTGCTTGCGCAGGCGATGAACAAAAAAAGCAAGGGAGTATCAAAAAGGATGCGGATGCGAACAAGAAAGATCTGTAAAAAGGAGACCAACACGATGACATTGAGCATGGTAAGGAGAGGGAGGGATGATGCTGGTGAAGTTGGTGGTGTCGTGGACGATGATATATTCATGGCGGGATGGTGATGGTGATGACGATGATGAAGACGAGCAAGATGAGCACGCGGGTAAGGATAACGGTGACGAATCAGATAATGATGACGAGCAACATGATCATGAGAAGAGGAAATCATCAATTCGAGAACATACATTATACCAAAAACGGGACGGTGACGAAAAGGTAGGACAATAATCGTGGCGGGGGAAGACAAGGACGGTAATAAAGATGCGAATTTCTAAGGGGAGGGGTAGGGGAAGATGATGTGGACAACGAGGAGGAACACAATAACAAGGATGTGGAGGGGGAAAGAGTGGTAGGGTGACGAAAGGAAGCGAGAGCTAGCAATTGTGGTGGAACACCGGCCCAGCGGGGATGGGTTCCAGACTCTGGGCGTCCACGCTGCATGACACGTCACAGCGTCGGAGCAACAGAGGGAGTGAGAGGCGGGCGAGGAGCAGGGGAGGTCCGGAGTCGGGAGCTGGGTCAGGGAAGCGACAAGGAAAAGGACAGACGGCGGGAACGGGGGGAGAAGAGGCATGAGGTGTCAGGTTTGCGAGAAAAGAGGAGGCAGAGGACAGGCTGGTCTAAGCGTCATACCGGACGTCTCACCCCTCCTTCCCATCCTTTACCATCGCGTTGATACCCCCTCTGCTCGCACAGTCGGATGTTCAATAGGGCAAGGATCCCGAGAAAGTACGCGATGCGCGGTAGAGGTGGAGGACCACAGATGAAGGGAGGAGGTGAGGCGAGGAACGTGGGAGATCGTCTAGACCAGCGGGGGCACAGGGTTGGTGGGCCGGATGCCCGCGGCTTTTGAGGGAATCACATCCAGTCCCGTGGGCACTCGTCTTGTAGTTGAGGATGAGGATGAGGATGAAAATGAGGAGGAGGTGGTGGTGGAGGAGGGTGAGGGGGAGGAGCAGGAGGAGCAGGAGGAGGAGGAGGAGGAGGAGGAGGAGGAGGAGGAGGAGGAGGAGGAGGAGAGGAGAGGGAGGATACCAGCGTACGAGGGGTTTTCAGCTCCACCCTACCATTCACCTCGCCCCATAGGGCGGGGCAGCGGAGCGGCGGCGAGCGCCCCCCCTGCCTGTGGAGCGCCTCCTCGCCAGACGTCGCCGCCAAGCACCGCGGCTGCTTCAGTCAAAGCTGAACGGCTACGATCGGCCGACGCAGCGCTGAGCAAGGATATGGGCGAAAAAGCCGAGGCGAGAGGAGCAGGAGGAGAGCCACCACCAGCAGGAGCAGCACACGAGAGAGGCGGCAGGGTGGGGGTGGGCACCACTATCATCGGCTACACGCAACGAGTGACCCTGGGTAAGAGTGACCTTTGGTGCGCGGCTTTTTGGAGGCCGCGGGGGGACCAAACTGAGGCGCGCAAGCCGCTGCTCCTGCTTCGCGTTCAACCATCTGGGGACCCATCTGTGCCCGCACCAAAGGTCACTCCGGCGAAAGGTCACTCTTACGTCTTGTCGATATCACGTACACAGGCTCCCCTTCATCCGCGGGGGGAGCGGGGAACCATATCACTGCCTGTTCCCTGGAGCAGCGCGGGACCGCGGAGAGGGCATCCGCTCTGACACCCGTGGAGGGCGTCGGTTCTGGCCGCGGCGGCGGCGCCGGTCCGCGGAGCTACTACTGTTTCAGCGCCACCGCCACTGACCGAAACACAAAAATTCGCAACGCCCTCCAGACCAACACCTGTGCCAGCTGGGAGAGGGGGGGCAGCCAGGGCACTGACGCGAGGAGAAGGCGGGAGGCAAAACACTAGCACCAACAACAATCGGGAGCGAAAAACGAACGGGAGGAGGTCGAGGGGGACGGCAAAGTAGGCTACGTAGCAACTATCAATCCCAACCTGGGAGACCTCAGACGCAGGGAACGCGTTAGCTCAGCCCTGGGCTGCTCGCAACAGGCATGCGATCACCCTCAACTAAACATATCAAGCTTTCCGAGTCGCTGTGTGGCGGCAGTCGTCGTGGCAGGGGTGCGCGGAAAGGGCGAAGACGGGGAGGGCGGACAGAGACGAGCGGAGAGAAGAAATCATCATCAGAGCCTTCGAGATCAGAAATGATCTTTGGCTTGAGGCAAATCGAAAGGGCGCGATCTGAAGCCTCCTCATCACTGTCGCTGATGCAAGGGCACGAAGACTACGATGACGTCGACGAGGCGGATGGCACCGTGGGAGAGATATAAAAAACTGGCGCAAACAAACACTTCCGATCGACATCGTCAGCGGGCCGAGCAGGGCGAAGCGGACGCAAAACTGCCAGGGTAGCCGACCTCTGATCGCCATCCGTAACGTAACCACGGAGCCTCATACTGTGGTATACGCACGTTGAAAACATTATCACAATCTCTTGAACACATTCCGACGATGGAGCAATGAACACAGGACGTGCCGCCAGAAACCTGGGGAGTGGGGGCCCGAAAGCAACACGGACTGTACGCAACAGGGCAGGGCACATCATGTGATGAAGCTGTTGGTCCAGGCAGCCTGCTTGGACAACCATGCTCCAACGCCTACCAGCCGTGCGCCGAATGCAACTGGTAGGCAACCAAGCCGAAGCATAAGTTCTGATAGTGGGAATGTCCCCGCTGCAGGGAAGCAAGCAACACATTCTGAATCGACTCCCGCGGTGTACGGTGCAAGAACGGCTGCCATCGAACAACACACCGAAACAACCTCAGCTTGAAAACCACATGTAGCGGATGACGGCTTACACGAAGCGAACGAAGGGCACGGAGAGCAGCACGTTGATGGCGAAGACGTCGGTCTGCAACTTGACGTGTCTCGGCAATCGAAACAATGCAGCACTCCAGCAGCGACCGTGCATACCCAGCTGCCGGGTCCCCTGCCGCAGCCCATGCGTACGTCTGAACCGAAGGCGGGGGCAGCCAGTGTCTACCAGCATCATTGGGCCACTCTTGTCGTGGCCTGGACCCCAGCAAGACAGCGCCATCGAACGATCAATCTAGCAGACGTTGGTTCAAAAGTGTGAGAAAGCTCCAGCATACGGTCGGCACGAGGAGGAGGAGGAGGAGGAGGAGGAGGAACAAGAGGAGGGGGATGAGGGGGACCTCCCCATCCTCCTTTCTCCCCGGCAGTGGTGGTAGAACACGGCCTATTATTCCTTTTGTGGTGGCCGTCCAAATGCGTGTTAACGCGAGCATGGTCTGTTTCGCACCCGTTCAACACGACGCGAGTGGCGCAACAGGGCCAAGTCAAGCTGCGTGCCTCAGATGGGACAGAAATGGTTAACGCGTTTTGGGCGATCACACGACATCCCGAGGAACATTGATCCTTGGACCACGTTTCGCCTGTTTGTTGTTTTGTTTTTTTTCCAGACGGGCCCAATGCCCAGTGTTAGCGCGAGGCCCCAGACATGGAAAACTTTCAAAAACCCTCTGCCGTGACAGTTCCACGGCGCAAAAAAAGGTCTGGGCTCATCCCCCCCTCCCCCCCATCCTCCTTGAAGAGGAACGATCGAGGGGGACTGGTTCGGGGGGGGGGCATAGAG